ACCTGCTGCCTGTTGGGCTGTAGGGGAGCTGCTTACAAAGGGAACCCTCAGGCCCCCACCTGCTGGATGCAGCCCAGAGGCTGTTCTGGCAAGCAGGAATATACTCTGAGACATTCTGCAGTGCAGCCAATTATCACAATAATAGTTTCATTATTAACCGGAGTTCATAAACTGTCTGTAAAGCTATTCCTCAGCTCATGTTTCTCTGGCGCAGGAGCCAAGTGCTAGCCAGACAGATGGGAACCTAAAGCTTTTAATGGGTTCTCCTATTTGTATTTGCTGATTGCCTGACCTCTTCCAGTCACAGTGATGGTGTGTGTCTGCAAAGCACCACACGCACTGTGGGTTATCCCATGAGCAGTGAACCTTTCTAGGCTGGAAGAGAAGAGGTGGTTTGAAGGTTCTGTTCCACAAACTTTGTTGATATTAATGAGATTTTTACACCTTTTCTGCAAGGAATGTCAAATCAAATAGCATTGTGGTTATTGACCAGTACTGGCTGGAGCATGTGAAGCTGCAGAGATGGAGAGAAGGAGAGCACCACTTCTGTTGTTGGAAGCCTTAGTGGTTTCTCTTTGCTTGTGTTATGTATTCTGAAGTTATGCTGTAAGCTTATGGTAAGAAGGAACACATTTTGCCATTGTTCAACTTCTGGCTGATTCAGCACTTTGCTTTATGATGTGATCATTAAACAGTTTCATAGCTTCTGATACAACGCAGTGAATTGCCAATGGCTTCCAACGTGCATTACAAATGCTCAGCAGCAGATGCCCCATCCCATCTGCGCTCTGCTAACTGGAAGGCTGACTGCTGCCCATGCCCTTTCTTGGGCCTGAAATACAAAGTTGTTTCACATTATGTTCCCCATAGCGATTCAGATCTTGGGAATGGCGTGCAGCTTGGTGCTCTCCTGACCCCACTGACCACAAGGATACACCCAGAGTAGAACTGGCCTCTGGGAAACCTGTGGCCCAGTGGCAGCTCACTGGGTGCTACAGGTGAAAGTGTAACAAGGAAAAACGTCTTTAATGGCTGGAAGGATGCAGGGATGATAGCTGGTTTTGCAGCATTTGAGTCAGTGCAGTGTTGTGTTAGACCCCATTCAGATGCTTAAAGTTTAAAACCAATTGAGTCGCATGATGTAACTGGGATGGATGTGCGAGGAAAAAGTAACTCTCCCAAGGCTGCCCCAAGCTCAACTCAGACTCAGTTTTTTAATTAACCCTACTGTCAAAGTTTTTGTTAATTTGTTTGCTTTTACTCCCTAATTTTGCAGTGGCATGCCAGCATTATTGCCATGTGTTCAGTTCTTGCTGTTGTGCCAGGGTAAGCTCACACAGGCGTTTCTGAAAGAATGTCACTGTGCTGCTCACATCCTTGGCACAATACTCGCTTTATTCACAGAGAGGAAAGCCTTTACCACTAACTGCAAGGGTACTTTATTTTTAGGCTGTGTTTTCACTCACAATCTGCAGAGTGATCTGTATGCACGGCGTTTGTTTCTTTTCTAAATGTGTTCCATCAAGTTTTATTTTAACACTGGTGTTGCAGCGTGCGGCGTGGCAGTGGGAAGTGTCAGTTTGGGCAGAGTCACGTGTGGGTGAGAGTCAGGGTCAGATAATGGCACAGCTGTGTGCCCAGTGCGGGCAGCAGGGCTGTGCTCAGGGATAAGATTAAAATGGATCACTTAAAATACACTGGGTCAGACTACTTTTATTAACAACCCTTACTTCATGTTACTGTGATACAAACAAAGCTGAGATGCCTGGGGCTGCTGTGTTCCCCAACTGGTCTGCCTGAATGTGGGAGAACTGCAGCCATCCTCTTGGGTCCTCCCCGAGACCAATAGTGGGCAATGAGGCGCCAGAACTGCTGCCTACAGCAGCTGTGGGTGCTCCATTCCTCACGGTGCACAAAGCTAGGCTGGATGGTCAGCCTGGGGGCAGCCAGCCCATGGCAGGGCTTGGAACTGGGTGGGCTTTAAGGTCCCTTCCAACCCCAGCCATTCTATGAGCCTACAATGCTATGAAATGTTCCTGAAATTTGAGTTTAATTTTGGCCCTTTTTTAAATTTGGCACTGCAGGGATGCACCCCAGCTGCAGCATTTCAGCTTCCTCGTTCCCATCCACTGTCTATTCTCATAGAAGATGCTTTGTTGGGTTTTAGGATATTGAGAAAAAGATGCAGAGTAAGGTAGAGGGCATTGGAGGTGCTGCTGTCTGGTGCTGACTGATTTCCTAGTGGAAGTACAGAAGCGAGCCCAACCCTGTCTGCAGGATGCTGCTGTAGGAGCACAGTGCAGGGGCTTTGTGCAGGAGGAACTGCAGGGTCCAGCACTATGTTTCATCACCTCCTCCCTCCCTGAGCTCCCCGCACTGCCTGCAGTGCTGCTGGCAGTGAGCCCTGAGCTGCGCTCCAACAACCAGCCCTCACCTTCTCCTCAGGGTTACAGTAACTGAAGGAAGGAATAAACAGCAATAAAATACACTAGCTTAATGTTTCAGCTTAAAAGACAGAAGCCATTCCTTCAGGTTTAATGCAGATGCTGTTGAAGCATCCCAGCACTCCGATCATGCTGGAAATGACCACAGAAGGAGCTGGGAAGCGTTCTTCCTATGTGACGAGTTTCCCAGCTCCAAATGTGCATTCCATCATTCTTCCCTAGGGAAAGCCATGTGTTACCTCCTCATCCTGCAGATGAGGAACGCAGCTCGTGCCCAGTTATGTGAGGTGTTCTCAGGCATGACGTGCTGCCGACCCGTAGGTGCCAGCGAGCTCCATTTCTTTAAACAGAGTCAGGTGGGAAACATTCTGGTGTTCAGTAGTACCCAAAGCCCAGAAAGCCCATTTCACTGTCCCTCTGAATTCAGTTAGCTGTGCTTATTCCCGTTAAAGAAATATCACAGTCAAAATAACTGAGTGCAAAAGTTGCCCATGCTTTGGGCTTCGCGTTTTATTTTTAACTCAAAGTGTTTCCTCATTTGCTATCAATCATGGCAGCTGCTAATGCAGAAAGTGAGAGCCTATTCTTAGCATCTCAGCACACAGAGCTGCCTAATAGTGAGTGCTTTGTTCCCCATGGTAAATGCCTATTGACTTCCTTGGCCCAGAGAAATATTGATTTTTCTCTCACTTTCTTCACAGGCTCTGCTTTCTTCCCTGGGCGCTGCGCTGAGATCTTTGCCAGAGGTCAGAGCGTGGGGAAGCTGGGAGTGCTGCACCCCGACGTCATCACCAAGTTCGAGCTCACCATGCCCTGCTCTGCCCTGGAGATCAACATTGAGCCCTTCGTGTGACAACGGAGCCTCACCCACAGATGCCCACTCCCATGTGCTGCACCCTCTGCTCCTCTTTCTCTGTAGGCAACATCTGCTTCTGCTTTTATGTTTCAATAAACTACAAAAACAGTCTGGCTCTGTGGGTAGACGTGTTCCTTAGGGTGTAGGATGGAGCTGCAGTGAGACTGTGCCGTCGGTATTTGTAGAGGGGTGAAAAAGTCAATCTGGGTAACAGCCCAGTGTTCTACAAGAGAAATGTAATGGCAGAGCACGTGATTCATTTTCAAAATCAGAAGTGTTCCACAGACACAGCTTCATACTGTAACTGATTATGGCTGCGTAACAGGAATCTCATTCTTTTCTTATTGCATGAAATAAGATAATTGATTAGAGCAAATGCTGAGTGAATGTGAGCAGAACGAAGAAATTGAGCTTTTCTTCTGTATGGTTGTCATGTGCTCATCAGTGGCTGGGAGAGGAAAACAAACTCATTTCATGAAAACCAGAGATACTTTGTAAGCAAGATGTGTGTAATATCTGCTGTCCCACTCTAAACATCACTACTGACCCTTTATCATTCTAAATTCAGAAGGCGTGGGTGGAATTACATTTTTCCGTGGTTGATGTAAACCAAGTGGGTTTTGAAGCTCCAAAGTAAATTGGGGAAATGCATTTAGGAGCACATGCCCGTGGTCGTCTGCAGGAAGAGCTGAAAATATCAAAGCTTTGGTCAGACTGAGGTCAGTGTTTGTCTGCCTGGGGCGGCGTTCACTGCACAGCCCTCCTGTGGGTGGCTGAGCCCCAGCAGCACAGCTAGGATATGGCACTGGCCCTGGGCGCACCCAGGCAGCGCGCTGCGATCACAGAATTCAGCCCAGTGCTCCTGGCTCATCATCCACCCACCCATGAAGCTGGCTGTTGCTCATTTGCATTGGTACAACCACTGCAGTGTTGCACGCCAGTAGCAGCAGGCTGTTTTTTTGTGGCTCATCACGTCTGGGGAGCCAGGCGGCCTCTGGTCCAGGAGCAGCCCTGTGAGCAACGCACTGCCATCACTCACCTGGAAACACCACAGTTTCCCCAGAGCAGCATGCATGGGGGGAGAATCCTGCAGCCGCACTGCCGTGCCCCCAGGGCCCATCTGCCTGCGTGCGGGGTGCAGCACAGGGAGCCCTGCCCAGCCACACCACACTGCTCAGTGTGGGAAGCGGCCTGAAACACAGATGGAAGGCATTAGAAAGCCCTGTTTATTGGTGTGTCATGCATGGGGATTAGGACCGCAATACGGCAGATTTGCATTTCAGCAGACTGCAGGCATGTGTGCATGCACTAAACGTATTTCTCTACGCATGATTTTCTCTCTCTTTGGGTGTCCCAATTCTCCTGTGAATTTATGTTCTGTGAGTGTGAAGGCAGTGCTGGGGCCGCAGTCTCACTGCTGCTTCAGGATTTGGCCTTTCATGAAGCAAAATTGTGGAGTTTTGCTCAGAGCAGGCACTAGCAGGGCTAGAGCTGCAACTACAAAAATTTCCTGTTCCTCTCTTCCAGCTGGGAGCCCCTCCCAGCCCAGCAGCCGCTTGCAGGTAGTGAAAAAGTACATAACGTGAACACAGAAGCAAACCAAATCTTGCAAAATATTTATATTTTAAAATTTGAACCAAGTACAGTTTGCATGTATCACATGAATCCCATACGGGTGAATACTATAAAAGATAAAAATATCTGTGCACGTGCTTTATAAATCCAAGCATCTCTGTACAACTTACACAAGTTCCCATATCACCAAGTAGCTGCGATTCAGAACAGGAGTGTTTCACACGGCTGCTCCCCCCCCCAGGCTGTGCCTCTCAGCTCCCCAGGTCCCACCTGCAGTGACGCCGTGTCCCCCGCCTGTGACCAGCAGCACCAGGATGGGGCCAAACGGGGACCTAGCAGCTTTGGTGGCCTCAGCCCCACGCCCACCACAGCAGTGTGGGAGGAAATCCATCCAAACTCTTTGCGTGCACATGTGAAGACAGATGTGTCCACACACTCTAATTTAAAACAGTTTAACCGCAGCCTGGGCAAACCTACAAATGGCTAACGTTTCTGCCTGCCTTCCTTCTGCAGCTCACCGACCGTGTCTGACATGACATGGCTTTTTCAAGTGCCCCAGCTGGTCAGCCAGAGCCCCCAGCACAGCTTTGGAGCTCGGCTGTGCGTGTACAGGCAGCCAACAGACGGCAAAGCACCTCCCTTACATCCAAGTCAAACTTGCAGCCATGAGCACGAAGGTGCACAGCTAAAGCTTGTGCTGCACAGGCAGGGAAGGCACGCAGGCCCACCCCGAGCTCTGTGCTGCAGCACTATGCTCTCCCAGCCCAGCAGACCACAGTCACTGCTGTATTCATCATACGGCTCATTGGTCCTAGAGCAAGTACACACCGTTAAATAAGCAGCCTGAGCAGCACAGCGATGGCATGCCTATGAACACTGCTAATGCTATTCTACAACTTTGTACACTACTGCAAGACGTGCGGAAGACAAACAGTGATGTGGCAGCTCAGCATCACCCCTCACCCCAGGGCACTGCAGGGGCTGTGTGCACCCAGTCCCTGCATGGACACAGCTAGGCTCCACAGCAGCACCACCACAAGCCTCATCGCTGCCACCACTCTGCTCCACCGTACAGGAAACAATCTTTTGGGTTAGGATTAGCGAGAGATTGGTTAGAAATCACTCTATGGGGTTGGATTTTTTCTTTTTTTTGTGTCTCCATGGCACTGCTGACTTGTGGGGACGCGGCTTCATGCTGTGCTCACCATGCTCAGCCTTCTTGGCCATGGGTCACTACTTTATGGGATCCGGTATCAAATGGGATCGATTATATCTAACTCAAAGTTATTTGGGTACAGCGAGTCCTTTTCAGTTTTCAAAACTGGGTGTTTTGCCAGTGCAGAAAGGCAGCAAACCCTTTTTGATCAAGTTCAAGCCTCGAACAACTTCTCTCTGAAATGGTGGTGCCATGAGCTACTTGCCAAGGAACCAGGCTCAAATCAGCCCCAGCAGCTGGTGCAGCAGTGGCACGATGACAGTAGCAGTGAAGCCCACTGATGAGTATGTTACAAATTTATATGGCACTTCTACTTCCAGCCTCCTCCGGGCATCCAGGTCAGCAATGGGGAACTTGTAGCAGTAGCATAGCACACGCAGGACCACATTCTTCATCAGCTGCCTTGTCAGTAGGATAACGAGGAGCCCTACAAAGAACCTGGCCAGCATGAGCACCACCGTGGTACTGGTGATGAGAGGAAATCCCGTGTTGCTGCCCACGTATGCAGGTGCCACATACTGGTTGTTCAACCAAAACCCCACAGTCGCTCCAGCTCCGGCCCCAAGGATGGTGGTGGTGTCCCCACGGGTGGGGCTGTAGTAGTCCAACTTGGGATAGTTGTAGCACAGCAGGAGGGGCACAGCAATGGACAGCAGCGGGCAGAAGGGGCTGGTCAGGAGCACGTGGTCAATGCTATCCCACACGGGGTACAGGAGCACCAGCAGCACTGCTGAGATCAGCGCCCCGCCAATCACATCCTGCAAAGAGATGGAGGTGAAATGCTTTGCAAAACAGAACTCCTCAGCTGCCTGTAAGGCACTGACATCCTCTGATACCAGTGCCCCCAGGCTGAACAGTCCCAGGGCTCTCAGCCCTTCCCTGTACAGGAGATGCTCCACACCCCAGTCATCTTTGCAGCCCTCTGCTGCACTCTCTCTAGGAGATCCCTGTCTTCTTAAGCTAAGGAGCCCAGAACTGGGCACAGAACTCCAGTGTGGCCTCACCAGGGCAGAGCAGATCGCCTCCCTTGCCCTGCCAGCCATGCTCTCTGTAATGCCACCACTGGCCTCCTTGGCCACCAATGCACACTGCTGGCTCATAGCCAACCTGTTATTCACCAGGACATCCACATCCTCCTCTGCATTCCTCCTTTCCAGCAGATCAGCCCCAAACCAGCACTAACGTACGCAGTTATTCCTCCCCAGGTATATTACTCTGAATATTTGCCCTTGTTGAACTGCCTCAGGTTTCTCTCCTCCCAACTCTCCAGGGTCTCACTGAATGACAGCACTGCCTTCTGCTGTGTAAGCCACTCCTTCCAGCTTTGTCTCATCAGCAAATTTGCTGAGGATGCATTCTATCCCTTCATCCAGGTCAGCGATGATGTTGAACATGACCAGAAGATCCACCCCCTCCCCTCCTCTCACACTTCATGGTTACTGTCCAGACATGACTTCAACAGAAGAGACAGATGCACAGCTTCATCCCAGGGATGACATTAAGCAACGCTGCCTCGGCACAAACCCTTCCCATAGTCCTTCAAGTAATTTCATCACATCCATTGGATCATCACTTGCCCATTTTGCATGGAGAGGTACCTTCCTTTGCTGCAGATGGCCACCAGGAAACAAAGCACAGGGCACCTCCAGGCAGGAGTAGGGCAGGGTGAAAGTTGTAGCCTGAGCCTCTGAAATCTGACTGCATTTAGGCGCCCGAGGCAAGCCCATGGTTAAAACCTCATTTATTAACAGAGACAAATCAGATGTTTTGAGAAATTGACTGTTGTTAAGAACAGTGTTGAGGAAGCAGACAAAAGCTTCCCCAAAACAGTGGCTTTCTGTATGAAAGCAGTGTAAGAAGCGTCAGTGTGCTGCTCCAGATACTGCTCAAAATGCAGCAGAATTTCTACTGCGACCATGAAATTCACTGCAAATGCTGTAGTTAATCACATACAGCAACGTCCTGCCCTCAAGATGGTATATTTTTCAGCAAGTCATGACAGTTGACTACTTCTATGCTTGGTCACAGTCTAACATGAATTATTTATAAGAACTTAATTTCTAGTTGTTCCAGAATGAGGGGATTTGTTCACAACAAATATTTAATAGCTTTCTGGTAAATGCATTACTAGAGCACAGTCGAACTTCAGCTGTTTACAGCTCCCAAACAACAGCTCCACAGCACACTTGGCTTTAAGCAAGAAAACAAACACTGGAGCACAGCCTGCACATGGACACCCCCTACTCAGGGACCTGGGTACAATTCTCCAAATCACGCTATGCTGTTCCCTTACTGTACATATGCATTAGTGCAGGGGTCCGCATGCATAGTCTACAAATATACATACACTGGGGAGCAAGGCCAAAAGTATTTTACAGATAGGGCTGTGCCACCAAAAAGCTAGCAGAGCACTGCTTTATACAGTCTTCCCACAGGACACGGGCTTAGCACTTCTTTTGGAGACTCCCTTCCAACCCAAACCATTCTGTGACTTCTGAAAGAAAAAAAAAAGTGCTTTTCTGGCATCTCCATGCTGTGTATTACGGGGACCCCAGCTTCACTCTGTGTGAGGATGCTTGCAGAGCTGGCAGGAAATGCAGTCCCCGCCCATCTGGCTGTATGAGTAGCTCAGCCTCTCCTCTAACTGACCTGCAATTACAAAGGAATTCTCAAATTAGGACAGGTGTAAATTCTGTCCGAGGTGGTGATGCTTGGAGCCTTCCCCTTCCTGTCCCACTCCACTCAGGCTGCACACAGAATGGACCTCATGCCTGCAGATCTGAGTTGGAAAGTCAATGTTTTGCTTTGCTGCCTTAAGACAATGTCCTTCACTGCCTGCCTGGAGGGTCCCACCACTGGGCTCCTTCTCTGTTTATAGCATTTTTTTCTTAGGACTACAAACACATACAGTCTGGCTTTTGGAAGGCAATAGCCTGCTCTGTGCCTGCCATTACAATGAACCTGAAGATGCATGCTGGAACTGCAAGTACCTGCAAAGGCACCCAGGACATCAAACCTGCACCCAAACATGGTGGCACTCCAAAATACCCCAAAGATTCAAAGCCCTTCTGTGTGTGCAGTCCCACACCCAGCTGGGACACTGCACGCTCAAAAGAGCCAGCACACATTGGCCCCACATGATTCTGACAGGAACACAGCACCGAGACAGAAAAACGTCTACATTTTTATATTCCAGGTAATCCCCACTGGCACCTCCTCGGGCCCCATACCTGCAGGCACACACCCTGCATCTCTTCTGCTTCTCCACCAACAGAGAATGTTCTCATGCTAGGGCAGCAGAAGCAGGCTTTATACCTAGGCCATCTCTGAACAACTGCACTGTTTCCCATTCCTTCCCATGGCTGAACTCTCCTAACAGCTGAGGTCAGTGGGTGCTTGCTACTCCCTTCTCTCAAACCACCACACTTCTGCTATCAGCAGGCAGCCGCACGCCCTCCTCCATGATGCCTGCACTCACGTGGAGGTGTTGATGCACAGAGGGGCTGCACTCATGCAACCTGCCAGATCCCCGTGCCACCACGGCGTGCAGAGGAGACCCCAGCAGGGACGTGTGGCCTCAGGGGCAGCATTTCTCCTAGTGACGTGAGGGAGCTTTTTTTATTTACTTATTTTAAAGCCCTTTTTAATAGGGTCAAAGGTACAAAAGACTTTTTCTTCTTTACCCTAAAAATCCATCTAAATTTAGAGGCGTCTTTCATTATAATGGAACAGCGAGGGAAATATGCCAGGAATTTTTACTGATTGACTTAAGGTCACTGGTGAAGAAAGGATGTCTCCAGATGAGATTTAAGATATTGTTTTGATCCACCAGGCCCGGCGGGAAGGTCAGGCTATATTTTATAGACAACCTTCATCGCACAAGGGCCCTCTTTCTTACACTCATCAATTCCCCCTATTACAGCACCATTATCGGTCACAAAAAAATGCGCTATTTCTTCACATGCACCCACCAAGACTTGCATCTCCAGCTGGTGGGAGCTGCTGGCTGTATTCACACGGCAGAACGGGGTCACACCCCAACAGCCTCACAGGACAGAGCAGCGATGTTCCCCATTAGCTGCAAGTAGCATCAGTTACCCCAAGATCAGCTCTCAGAGCAGCTGGCACCCACAGACCGCGGCCACCCAGCTCACCCTGCAGCACCGCAGTATTTCTGCACAGCGAGTCTGCACCTCTCAGTCCCATAGGCTCAGTTCCCTCCCGGCCTGATCCTTGCAGCTGGCCGTAATGCCATTTCAAAGCCCAACCTAAGGAGCTGTGCCCCCCAGGGTGCCCTGCCCACCGCCCCCACAGCTCCCAGTCGCTTCCTGCTGACGCAGGGCCTTGCACAACAGCCTCACACGGAGCCGCGTCGGTTGCCCAAGTGCATTCCTCACAATTAACATTTCAAAACACGGAGTGACAACTCGCATCCCACACCATCCTCGCCCGGCTCTCAAACCCACACACGGCAGTGGGTTCCCCAGCTGTGTTCATAATTCCCTTCAGATTCCAACAGCGGCAGCCCAAGGGTTTCCTCACGGCGGCCTTGGAAGGCACGGCCTCACCACAGGCACGGCACGCGTAGCCCTGCGCTCACACAGGAGGGCACGGCCAGGCCCAGGCTAAGGAAGGAGGGGACGCGGAGCCTCACCAGCACCGTGTGCATCCCCGTGTACAGCCTGCTGAGGCACACCAGCGTGGAGAACACGAACGCTGCCATCAGGCCGAGCTCAAACGGGTACTGCAAAAGCAAAACAAACGCACGTGTTACACCGTTGTGCACGCGAACGTGCAGCAGCAGGAGCCGGTGCCAGGCTGCAGCCACCACACAGCTGTTAGAGAAGCTGGGGGCTCCTCTCCGGCAGGTGAGGCTCAGCCATCTGCCGAGGAAGGTGGTTGTACATAGCTCTCTCTCTGAGGTACCTACTGGCATGGAGGGGAGCGTTGAAATAAATCAATGTTTTTAAAAAAACAAATTGCATTTGGTAACGTATAATAATTGGTAACCCCAGCAGTGGCAGGAACTAGACAAGCTTTAAGGTTCATTCCAACCCAAGACATTCTATGTCTATGGATCTATGAATGAACTTAACACATTAGACCTTATTCCACTCTTTCAAATCCCATCTTAGGGCTCAATTGAAAAGAAGCCCCGTGGGTTCATTTCACTCCCTACAAGACAGTTTTCTGGAACAGAAAAAAAAAAGTGGAATGAATTCTGACACAAAGCCCCCACCTCCTCCGAAGAGCCTGGCACCTGACCACATCATGCTGCTGCAGCCATGTCCATAGCCCAGCCAGCCCAGCTCTGTGTGGGTGCTGCTCCCAGCTCACACAGCTGTGTTTTCCTGCTCCTCAGAGCCCTCAGTGCAGCTATACGCCCCGCTCCATCTCCAGCAGGCAGTCATGGAGCTGGGCCAGCCCAGTAACTGATGATGAGGGCAGCTCCTTTATTCTTAACGGAGGCCAATTAAACCACGTAATTATTTTACAGCAGCTTTATTGTCTCACGGAAGTCTCCAACAGGTAGAGAACAGTCTGGGAAGATCTGCGAGTCCCACCCCCAGCTGAGGAGGAGGAGAAAGTGCTGCTGACCAAGGCTTTTGGGGCTGGTGCACCAATAGGGGTGGCAGCGTGACTCCTTACAGCAGTTGTCCCCACATGGTTTTACTACAACACAATAAAGCAGGGAGACCGTGCTGTTTTTACAGCAGAGACCCAGCCCACTGCAGGACATCTGCATCCTTGTTGCTCATCCGTTGACCTGAGCAACAGCGATGCTCAGCAGAGCCCAGAGAGCTGGGGCCCTTTCTAACAAAGAAGTCAGTGTTGTTGCATCTCCAAAGCCGTACCACTGCTACCCTGAGCAGTCACCTACTGCACTGTGACACTCACCAAAGGAGTGAGTGCTTCACGTCCCTGCACAGCTGATGGGATGGTGCAAGGTGTCTCAGGGACAACCCCAACCAGGCCAAGAGTCCTCTGGACTTATGAGGCAGGTTTATCTTTGAAATTCACTTGAAGAGGATGAGAAACATGCTTAAATATGCTGCAGAAAGGATGTTGTCATTGCTGAACACAGGAAATGCTTGTTAGGATTTATAAAGCAGAATCAAAATCACCATGGAGCAATAGGTTTCCAGGAAACAAACCTTTTTAGGTAGGCAGAAGGCTGAAGGTTTGGGGAAAATAATTATTATGGGATCTCCCCAAGCAGCCTACAGCAGCAATGCAGCAAAACTGGTGCTGCTTCTGCAGTGAACAGGCTTTTGAGCTGCGCTACACGCTATTTAGCCAAACATAAGTGATAGCCAGGGGATTTCCAAGGACGCTTCTCCTGCCTCAGACAAAATGAGGCGAGACACAGTTCCCTTCACGTCACCAAGAAAGTGACAGCCTCCAAGCAACACTGAACTGGGTTTGTGCTAAAGGAGCAAAATTTCCAACAAAATTCTTGTCCCCATTATCAGCTGGCTGTGGATAACAACAGGGGAAAGCACACATCAGTGGAAACGAATACAAAGAGCTCCTCTGGAAGAGGCAACAGCTTTGGGTTTGCTGAGTCTTCTGCAGCTTGCTAGAAGCAGACATACTTTTTATTTAATTAAAAAAAAAACAGCTTTTTTTTTTTTTTTTTTTTTTTTTACCCTTACCTTGTACTGGTTCGTGGTTGTGATGAAAAAGGAGAAGGAAATGGCAGTAGCTGCCATGGCGTGGGTGGAAGGCATCCCATACTCTGCATCTGTCCGCATCTCCAGCTTCACAACAGGTGGTGAGAGGGGCCGCGGCCACTTGAGGATGTCCTTGGAGACCTGCCCTATGTACATCACAATCTGGGGAGAGGAAATGCCACAGGCTGTCAGCTAGCAAACCCAATTCCCACCATGCCACAGCACCAAGCTTTTCTGCTGCTAAATCCACCACCCAAGAGCAGAATTTGTCTCCTGAATTATTAAAAGATTTTCCATTATCCTGGTCAGTGGTGGCAGCAGTGGTTTTACTGCACAGCACGGTAACTGGATCAGAACTGGGACTAAATGCAGGTTTTGCTGATGAGACACAGCAGCACAGGATGGTGCAAGATGGATGGATGGCTCCCACCCCACACCATGGAGAAGACATTTCCAGTCTCTCCCTTGAAACCTCTCTCCCACAAAACAAGTGGGCACTGCAGTCATTGTGTCATGAAAGCAGGACAGCTTGCTGTTCTGCTTCTCCCACTTCCAGTAGGAAAGGGGAGTTCTTGAAACAAATCCTTCCTCTGCTGTGGTAGAACAGCAACAGGCTCATCTGTGGCCATATCCACTACAGCCATGCTGCATCCCTCTCTCCCAAAAGCCATTTGAAAAAATGCCTTCAAGTCAAAAGGACGTTGGGATTCAGGGTTCACAAAACGGAACTAGGAAAAAAGCCAAAATGCCCAGTTCCTTCATCCTCCTGACTGCAGCAGAGCACACCCTGCAGAGCCCCACGCTGCCAGGTAGCCCCAGCTGCTCTGCCTCTGCTCCTCGCCATGAGTCACACACCACTACATCACCAGGGGCACATCTGGCTGCTGCTGGGCAGCGACACGCAGGGCACAGCGCCATACCCTGTGCCATCCCAGGCTGCCCACAGGAGAAGGAAACAACCTCTTAAAGAAACCACCGGGTGGATTTATTTGGTTCATGCCACCCATTTCCAAATGGATGTGGGCACACCTTTGGAAGCCAGTTAAATGCCAAGGGTTCCTAAACAGAAGGAGAAATGTTGAGGCTACGGTATGACCTCACAGGCGAGGTGGGACAAGCCAATGTATCAGCAGCCCTCTATAATAACAACTTTCACTTATTATTATACACAGTATTATTAGCGCTAATACGTAAGAGAATTACAGAAAGGGAAATGAGTCACTTTCCAAATGAAGGCCACATTGGGACTGCCCTGATGGACACAAACATGCTGAGTGCAGGAGGAGGTATGGGTAAGCAGGAACACCGGGCATCATCACGTTTTTTCCTTCCATTCCAAATTAGTTTCTCATCTTTACAGTTTTTTTTAAATGCACACTGCATGGCACTTGTAGCACTGAGAGGTGAGCCAAACCCATAGGACATCCATGGGATTCCAGCATATACTCAGCACTGCTCTTTGCAGCACCAGACCTTGCTGCACAGGTTTTTATAAGCAATGCCCTGGCTCAATGAGCAAAGCAACACACGTGAGTATGGCAGGACAACCCCACCAGCAGAGCTGACAAGTTTCTCCTAGGAGAGAGATGACAAGTGCTGTGCAGCACAGCACGGAGCAGCACAGAGCTCCTGCACTACCCACCATGGGGGGATCCCTGCATTCCAGGCGTCACACAGACAGAGAGGCTCCCAGCACAGCATCACACTGTGGGGTACATTTGGCCCATGCTCTGCTGCAGGTCTCATCTTCCAAGGACAGCACGCACCTCTCTCAGTTAATGGTACGTTCTCTCTTATGTAAGATTTCCTCACCTTATTTCTCTGTCATTTTGGATTTATTCTCTAACAGTTCCAGGAAAGAAGAAAGCAACTTGCAGCAGGTTTTTTCAGCCTAACAGATGAGCTGCCCTTGTAACAAAAGTTGCAAATCACAAGCATTGGAGCACTGGAAACAGGGAGAGATGAGCATGGGGACATGATAAACACAGAACTAAGCTTCCACTACAACACTTGACTTGAATTACTTATTTGCACAACATCAAAAACCTTTCAATGGCCCCAGAACATATTCATGATGGGTGCAAATCACCCCAGCCCCAGAGAGCTGACCACCAGCACTGTTATGCATTTCCAGACCTAGAGACAGATGGTATTCAGACACAGTTTGCTGTCTTGTAGGCAGCAGAAACTTTGAATTAAGCCACTTCTTCATTCTGTACAGTCCTGTTTGCTTCTCCCCCACCTCAGAGAGGTTTCTGCCTACCCAGTGTGCCACACTGCAGCTCTATGCTGCTCTGTGTACATCTCCAGTGCCAGCTGTTCCACTTGGCCACGCAGACCCAAGGGACTTTCTGCACTTCTGGGGGAAAGCCATCTGCAGATCTCTTCAATATAAGTAATTTTAATTAGCACATTAATAAGTACCTGTCTTTGCATGGGGAAGTTTGTTTGAATCTGAAGACTTTCCCATTACTAAAGCAACAGTCAAAAACACGATGGGCTGTGTGGGACGTAATTAAATTCAGAGAGCTACAAAGGAACACATGGGAATTCAGCTGAGATGCAAGAAGCATTAGAAAGGCTCTTAGCTACAACCTTCCTCCTTGTTCCCCTCCTACAGGGTCTCTGTGATGCCAGGAGCAATGCAGAAACAGCACTGTCCAAAGGCAGCAGCACCCACAGAGGGAAGGCAAGGCTTCAACGCCACAGCTGGTCAGCAGCATTACCATTTACTACCTCAACACCATTAGCAGTTGCTACAGCAGCGCAACCACCTCTGTGTTCTTCACCTGAGGCCTTCCTGCAAGCCTCCCCTGAGCCACACGTGCTCCATCACAAAGATGCACTCCCTCCCACCCTTGGCCCCAGGCTCACCAAGCAGGCTCTGACTGCTGTGGCAGCTGCAGGCACATGGCACAGCCCCCTCATGGCCAGGCCCAGCTGCCATGCAGCCAGCAGGGAGGCTCCTGCCATGCAGGCAGGGGGCAGTCAGGCTGGTTCTGATCTTTGCACTCTAATATGGGGTATAACCACGGCAAGTCAGAACAGATTTGTTTTAAACATGTGATTGTACAGCTTTTCCGGCTGCACTCCTGATCTATTAAAAGGTACAGATGAAATTCTAGAGAAGGCGTGGGGTCAGAGAGCATCGCTGCCTTCTTCCCTGGGACTTGCACTGCACCAGCCTGACGCTGAGCTCACTGCTGTGCCTCAGAAATAGCAATTCCATAGCCTGGCTCTGCAGCTGTATATCACCTTCCTAGGATGGAAATATACAGCTTAACAATGAGTTTGTTTTTGGTTTTAATCACGGTCTTGGTATGCCAATGGAAGTGACTGAGCACATCAGGAGCACCAGGGGGAGGAAAAGAAAAAAAAAAAAAAAAGCGCTAATAATAAGCTGGCATTTGTGGGAAATTGGCCAAGCAGAAGCAGAGCCTGCATCCTGGAAGTGGCAATTCTCCTCCAGGCTGTTGAGCAAGCAGTCACCCTGTCTCAGTGCAGAGGAATTAAGCCCTTTGACTGGCACCACTCACAGCCTCTCATTTCCACATCCTGCCCCTAAAGTAAAGGCTGTGCAGTGCCCCTCAGGGAGCTCAATGCTCCCTATGAGGCACGACGGTGCGGATTAGTTGGGTCAAGCCCTGGGATAAGGACAGGGCTGCATGCAGCTGCCCCACGTCTCCTGGGCTGCTATCCACTTCTGTCAAGCTGGGTACTCCCTCAGGGTACAGAGGCCAAGCAGCACAGGGCACCAAGGATTTATTCTCAGACAGCACACAGAGACAGACTGGGCTGTAGGAGCCCCACAGCTTTCTGCACAGCGTCACACAGCACTTCCAAGGGCTCACATGCTGGACAGGTGCATTATGTGATCAGCTATCAGGAGCTCATCTTGGAGAGATGCTGCTAAAAGCACAACTACTAACCTTTGTTAGAGCAGAACAACCAATAAAAGCAAAGGTTGCTGCAAAACAACTTTTCAAAGCAGCCAAGATTTCAGCTTGCAAAGCACTGTGAGCACGGGCAGATCCCTGCTCGTTATCACAGCAGGTTGCCCTGAGTTCAAAGCTCAGCATGCCCCTGCACCAGAGCCACAGCATCCTGGGAAGACCATTGCTCTGGGCAGCCAGCAAGAAGCCAGACCCAGCACCCCAAGCCTGGCCCACCCCGCACCCCAACACAGCTTATCGCACCACACTGCCATACTTGCCCTGACAAAGTCCACACCGGGTGGCTGTTATTTATATTGCACAAATCACAGCTTTATAGGCTTGAAAGAGGTGTGGGTACACTTCACATTTACGCACACTGTGGAAAATAAGAAAACCACGAAGTTTTCACCTTTTAAGCTGAGATACGTGGAAAACTTAAAGCACATCTGAGATCTGGTTTATTTCAAGTTGTTTTCCACTTCTGTTGAAGCAGAAAGAACCCTAGGCATCGAAGCCAGGTCAAAGAGTGCTTCCTTCAAAGGGCTGAGGATGGGATGTGCTGACACCAGGCTGCCTGCCCAACACCTCGCTGTGGGGCAGACACCCATCTCCCTCCTCTGCCCATAAAGGCTGTGTGCACATCCCAAGGAGAAGAGAATCACAGAAGCATCACATACTGTTTAAACTCCCAAAACAACAGGAGGAGACTGCAGCCCACATTCTGCCAAAGATATGAACAGCTGGCTTGGAGGACACAGGACTGGGGAACACAGCCAGAGCACCAAGGCTGGTCCCCTACTGCTGCTGAAATACTCTTTCCATAATCTTTCTTTCTGCCCTTCTATAGCTATGACCTCGACCCTTGCACTTCAAAACTTTGGGCTTATTCATGGCTATCTTCCACACATCTGTCTCTGCTCCAGTGTTTTTATATTAAAGAACCTCCTTCCTTCCCACCATTCCCACCAGCATCAGCCTCTCTCTGACTTCATTTGGTTGGGGCTTATCTCAGCTCTCAGTCTCTGCTCAGAAACAGCCTGCTCCCCAGTCATCCCTGGCCCTGCTCCAGCTGGAATTTGTCCCTCTCCACCACAGATGACTGGCTCTGCAGAAGCTATTGCAGATAAGATGATGTGAATGCCTTGGAAACAGCATTAATGCTTCTGATACTTAAGGGAAGACTCTCCGAAACAGTCTGGGACCCCCATGCTGTCATTAAAGCCCCCAGGTAAGATGAGAAGTACCAACTTGTCACACTGAACACCTTGGCACTTCTCCTGCAGCACGGCCAGTCCTGATGTCACACACACAACTGATGTATCACAGACAGACCAAGACCCTTCAGTAACACCACAAATGTCTACTCCTCCTCAAAAGCAAGTACGCCACCCAGTCAAGCCTGCCACATTAATGCAGAGCCTACACATGTATTTCCATTGCTATGTTACACTTGCACGAGCTTCTAAAACTGCAGATCATCACAAGCCTGTATATGTAGAACAGCTTCTCCTTTTCCCCTCTTCACTACAAAAATTTGATTCCACAACTCCTTCAGGAACTGGGAAAATAACACTGGACTCCTGCATGCTGTAATTAAGCCAGGCTAACCCCAGCCAGTAACCAGGCAGACTCCTTGCACGGTAAAGGCAAGGCAAGCCTTCAGAGGCACACAGGCAGCTCTGAGAAGTCATTTTTTGAGCAATCTGCACAAGCAGACAGCAGAGACTACCAATTATCATTTTCTGTGGCACACTTCCAAATGAAGTAGGTGTAGTCCTGGCCAAAACCCAGTTCTAATTAGTAAGCGTCCACCTACTTCTCCATTTAAGCTGTAAGTTATTTTTCATATTCTCTTTATAAAAAAATTATTGACTAGGGTAACTGGCACAGAAGAGCAGATGCTCTCTGCTCAAGACTGAATGCATTTTAAGTGCACGACCCAATTCAAATTGCCTTTATTACTCCTAATCATGTTATTTGGACAAAAAGAGAGAATACTATTAACCAGAATTGACTAAGTCAAGGACAAGCTTTGTTGTAAAGAAAAAAAGCTAAGCATCACATTCATGTCTTTATCAAGTTTCAATTTCTTAAATCAGAGCGGATTAACAATCAAACTTTCAGGGTCCGTCATCCACCAGAGATGCTTCCTACCTCCCTTCTCTGTTCTGAAAAGGTTTTATCTGGGTAAAGGCTTGATAAATGCCAGGACGAGCAATGGCAGCAACAGAACATTCACCCCTGTGCAGAAGAATGAAATTCTCAGTTATCTGCTGGTTTTCAGTGCAAGACCAGAAATATACTTTGGATTTTCTAAACTGCATTTGTGAAGGCTGAAGCAACACTGAAGCCTGTTCATTCGAGAATGCTGCTATCAAAAATCAGTGCTTTAGTCTCCAGAGAACCTATTGTTATGTGCATTTTGTATGTGAGGTTGTTTTGCTTTTTGTGCTTTTTTTTTTTTTAGTGGTGGTAGCAGGTTTTTTTGCTTTTGTTTTGGTTTTGTTTTGAGTTTTTGGTTGGTTTCTTGTTTGTTTGAAGGAATTGCAGCAGCAGCATTTTCATTCAGCTGCAGCCTACAAGTCCCCTTTCTTAGATTTATAATCATTTCAAACAAGCCTGAACTGTATGAGCAGCCTTCGCAGAAGTACCCAGGGAGAAAGATTTCCCAGCATAAGAAAAACCCATCCATAGCAGACCATGATATCTTGGAAAGGAAGCATTTTACCAGCTGCTCTATACAAACCCTATCAAAAAGAGCTCAGCAAGTTGTTGGGCTGAGGAAAATAAATCAGTCCAAGACAGCAGAGACGAACAGATGCTGCACAAACCAACGCCTCCTCTGCCAGTCATTGCAATGCCTGTGTCATGCACACACACACCTCTGCCATCAGCAGCAAAACTCACAAGTGTCCATGCTGGACCATACGAGAACCATATAAATAATGCTGTTGATTTGAAAGGTTATTCTTACTCTTAAATATTCACTAGTTACAATTACAGAATTAAGAATTATGTACATAAATAAGTGATCAAAATACTTACAGACCAAATGATTATCATCCTTCTAGACACAGAGTGATCGATGTTCCAGTAGATAAATGGGAGGAAAGTGATATAGAAGATCTCTTCACCCAAAGCAGCTGAAAACTTGAATAGGTAATAGTAGAAGTAGTTCTTCACAACGTACTTCTGTACACAGCCCTGAAAAGGAGAAGATTTTAGAAAGTTTAGGCAAGTTACCAAGTTGTATCAAACAACCATTACAGTTCCCTTAAATCAAATAATTACAGTCCTTAAGTCAATTAATTTGTTGCAGTGGATGTCAAGAAAAAAGTTTAGCGTTTATATTCAAAGGCCATAGGAAGAGCTCAATTATACTTTCTGTAGATCGGAAATCCATCAGAACTACTAAAGGACAGCAGTCACATTGACAAAGGTTTCCCAGAGATCAGATCAGCCTTTGCTCCAAGGAAGCTATCTGTATTTAATGGAAGAGTACAAATGCTTTAATTTGAAAGTTTCTACATCTGTAGATAAAAAGACCCACCACTGCTTTCACTAGAAACTTGTGTCAAGGCAAATCAAGTACCATAGAATTACTGAACTCTTCTTTCATTTGAGGTTTGTCTCACTGGATCAGTCAGAAATTTATTTACAGACCCTGAAATCTTGGTTTTCCCTCTTCTGAAAAGCAGCAGGCTGAAGCTGAGGCCCACCACCATATATGTAGCAGTGGGGACACAAAGGTTTGCTGCTCTGCTGGTGACTGGGACTGAAATGCCATCAAGCAGCCTGCTACTGCCCTGCTAGAACAGCAGCATGAGTCAGTTTTTCTAGAAATACTTCTGGAAACAAGGGAAACATGAAGAGGACTTGTAGTTTGGGATGCAGGAGAAGAGCCAATCTCATCTCTCTCTTCATCTTTCCCATAGTAAAATTAAAAACGGAATTTGGCTGTAAATGGGGCAGAAAGAATATCCAAAAGATGAGTGAAGAGGGAGCACAGAAATCTCAGCGAAGACATGCTGGGTAAAATTCAGCTGTGATGTAAGCTCCTCAAGCTCTTCTCACATGAAAACTATCATGCTCGTGAGCCTGATCTAGCAGAGAGAAATTCTCATCCTACGTGCTAAAGCGTGAGAATTGCCTGACACTCACTAGACATTCACTTGTGACTACATTTAAGAGCAATTCCAAGTTCCAGTTCCTTAGTCTGCCTTCCATACCAAGATGAAGTCAACTGCATGAAAACAACAAAAGGAAGCTGGAAGAAGGTTACATCCATTCATCTATCTCAGGGAAAAAAAAAAAATCAAATTGATTTTTGCATCAATAACCAGAAAAGATGAGTCAACTTTTGAAGTGCTCAGGTTACAGGAGTGTTCCCCCATGTATTAGTAATAGAGGTCACAGATAAGTTACCGGCACCACTCTAAGTAAATTTAGCAGCATGCAATGGCTCAGCTGCAGAGCACTCAGCCTCTGAGTCTCAAGTCTCACACACCACTTAGAAAACACCCCCAGTGCAATTAGCAACTGCGAGGCTTCTGCCTGAGATCATTAAGCCATATTTGGTCATTCTCATGTGTCCCAAAAGAAAGCTTTCTTCCAGCAGCGCTAACACCTCAATTAAGCAGCCACCTCCAGCGTACCAGCAGTGATGTGCTTTAGATCAAAGACCATCAGCACATCCCTACAGTAATTCTTCTGTTCCTGAAACCTCGTGGGGTGAGGGATAAAGCATTCGCATTATAGTCATCTCTCTGGGGGGAAAAATAAAAAACAATTGTTCAGGTTCTAAGGGAAGTCTGGAGCTACAGTCATGATCCTAAGGAGTTGTAGATATGGAAAGCCCACCACGAGCTCCTTCAGTCACTGGCTCACGAGAAGTCCCTGCTTGGTTCCAGCTGTACCAGAGCCAACGCCAGCAGCCAGCTAACACTGCTGTTGATGTTGTTTATTTTCAAAGAAAGCAGAGATGACTGTGCTTCATGAACCGTGTTCCCTTTCCACTCCTGTTCTAACCTCAGTACAGGAAAACGCCACTGCAAGTAGTTTGTGTGAACACTTAGTATCTTCTGACACTCAAGCGTATTCCATCTCTGATCCGTAGGAGATTTGTTCACACACTGCAGTAACTCACTGCCCTGTGTAACCCCAAACCCTGTGGGTGAGTCAGCCCTGCAGCCATCGTTTTTAAGTCAGAGCAGAAAGGTTTTCATGGTCAATAATTAAGGCCATAGAGAAAGACAAAATTTTAAGATTATTTCAAAAGGAAGTATGATGAGCCATGGCATTCCCAGATGCAGAAGATGGATAATTCCACAGAAACCACCCTTCTCATCAACTCTACCTACTTTGAAATCAACTACTCAAATTATAAGTGATGCACTTGGGTGTGTGCGGTGTCCTTAAATGAACTGCCTGCCTGAAGAACCTGCACAGGAGAAACTCCCACAGCCGACTGCTCAGTCTGTGCATGCTGCTGTGTCCTGCACACTGCAACCCCAACAACAGTGACAGAGCTAGTGGCACACCATGGGGAGATATCAGCATGCAATGCTGCAGCACAGCAGGAACCCAAAAGCATGTACATAGAGAACATCTAGCTCATGGCTGAGGCACAAGACCAGTAGCTGAAACACCAAGACCATGTTTTTTTTACCCCGTGCAAGAGGAAAAAAGCTGCAAAAAATGCACCACCCTCCTCCCCAGCCCTGTAGTATCTCTTGTTTAAGAATTACACTGCTTATCCACCACCCACTCCAGGGACTGGTGCTGCAGCGCTGGCCTCCTGGTGCTGAGCTGACCCAGAGACACCATTAAGCAACGCTTTGCTCTCAGCTCTCAATCACTGTGGGTCTTTCAGGAAATGTGCACAATTAATTAAAGTTTGAGGTCACTGCATTACTTCACTTGCAATAGAACAGCTTGACAGAAGACTGGAAATTCCCCTCCCAGAGCCCCTAATTAATGCACTACTTAAAGGATTTTGCACTACAAAATGTAGAGAAGCCACCAAAGTTAAGACACAGGAAAAGAGCCCACAATTCCTGTGTAGGGATGGGGAGAAAAACAGAAGTCACAAGAAATGCTACAAAGCAGTGAGCAGCTCCACTAGTACCAGGAAAAGCTTGTGAGCTTTGCTGGTTGGCACAGAGAAGCATCACCCAGCTTGTAGCTGCAGTGCCAGGTGCTGATGGCACAGCTGTCAGGGACACTGCCCTGAACCATCACTAAACACAGAAGCAAGACAGCCCCTGTGTAAGCAGAAACAATGGGCAAGCTGCAGGCCAGGCAGCCATAGTGCTTTCAGGGGCCCTAGGTAAACAAGTAGGGAGTCTGAACATCAGGCAGACCCCCAATAGCATTTCAGCATTTTTAAAATTCATTCCAAGCACCAAAAGAGTACCTTGAAAGGACCTTAAAGCCCACCTAGTTCCAAGCTGTGCTGTGTGCTTGCTACCCCCAAATAGGACCCCATCCAGCCTGGCTTTGAGCACCTCCAGGGATGGGGCACTCACAGCTGCCCTGGGCAGCAGTGCCAGCACCTCCCATCAGTTCAGCATTCCCCCTTCAGACTTCATGGGATAAATACCACACACACTGATGTGCTCAGCACACAGAGCTAGGACAGGTCTTGGTTTACTGCTGAAGACTTCAGTACTCTTATTTTCAGATTCTTTTCCCTTCTGCCCTGATTGGTACTTTGGGTGGCAGACTTAATTATGCATTATATTTCTGTACATTGTTCTGTAAGTAACATAACTAGGCCTCTCTTCTTCACTAAAAAAAAACATAAATAGATATAACGAAATCTGCTAGGTTGTTTAAGTATAAGGTAGAATAAAGCAGGACTAGAGCTGACAGATGACTTGCTTAGCAATTAACAGGAAAAATTAATGAAGGAAAAATACTGTCATCTTCCTAACAGAAAGCCTTCCTAATTAAGAAGAAAAAAGAAATCCTGAAGTCTGTCATAGACACAGGGCAATGGCTACCAGCTGGAGAGGCCACATGCAAAGGCCCACGCTGCAGCCCAGTGAAGGACAGTTTGCTGCAGGACAGGCTGACAGAAACCTGGTTCCATGGATGGACATTGTCCTGGTGTCAGCAATGGCAGAGCCCAACCCATGCTCATCAATGCCAGTGCCAGAAGCTCTGCTGCTTGCCCCAGGCCATCTCAGAGCACTTTGCTCTCCCTGCCACCGAGCCTGACACTTGCACACTGAAATTTCAACCTATCACTATTTCCTTATCTACCGCAGACAAGGAACAAATAGTTTCCTTCCACTACAGGTTGACATCGGAGAAGCTTGTTAGAAACACGCAGAGAAGACATATCCAGTGTTCTGCTACAGCATCACCGCCCGGTGCTTCCCGTGGAAGGCACTTCACATTTCCCATGCAAAGCACTTAACATGCCTGTCCTGAGTTACGGTGCCCAAAGATCAGGTGTAACACAGCAGTGCTGCAGGAACAGCCTTGCACTACTTCATTCATTTTGCTGGCTGTTTTAAACAGGCTGAGCCATGTCTAGCTGTGATCTGCTCTTACCACCAACCCCGTTTTCCATTCTCTAATCAAGTACTTACTATATCCACGCATTCAATAGCTATCTGCACCTACTAAAGTCAGTTTCCAATCATTCTTTCAGCTTGATGAGGTTATTTGATCTGTTCTTGTCCTCCAGCTCCTTTGAAGTTCATTTGACCAGCAGCAGCCCCCACTGTCACATTTCCATCCAGCACCTTGACTCCACATCCTCTCCTGACGAGCCTCTGCACTCATTGCTTCCCACCAAAAGGCATTCCCTGTGGCACACAAAAAAACTCGCAAGCCATTTGATTGGATAAATTAGTTCCTTCACATTTGCTGGAGAGTCAATTCCTACCAGCTCTTACGCTTTGGGAGCTTCCCACAGCTCCAGCATCTCCTGCGTTCCAGGAAGGCTGGCTGAGCTGGGTATAATGGAAGGACAGAGTGATGGAGACAAGAGAGGGAAGGGCTGAAGGAAATGGCTTCCCTTCCTCCCTGTTGTACAGCGAGAGAACAGGTTTGTCTAATTGCATTTTAATTCTCCAGAATTACTCTGCAATTCTGTGAGGTACCCCACAGAGCCTATGCCTGACAACAACAGAGGAAGTCGTTTCAGGGTTAGACAGCTGCAATAACAGCAGGGAGAGAGAATGAACATGAGCAAAGAAACAGAGAGCGTAAACTGCAGGCAGTTTGGGACAGAGATCCCAGCTTCAAAACAGAGGCTTCAAAACAGATGAATTTTGCATCTCTCCAGGTTGAGCAAGAAGTGTGCTCGCAGCTTAAGACTTGTTTTTAGACACAAACCATGGCATGTGTCTAAAAGCAACCCCAAAGGTGAGCCATGCGTTCCTGCCCAGCAGCATCACACACCCAGCAGCTCACTTCTGCACAAGGAACTGTTTCAACAGAAGTCTATCTCAAGAGGCACAGAGCCATAAGACTTCTGAAGCCAAACAAGCAGAGTGACAGTATGCCACTTTTAGACAATTAAGAAGTTTTGGGGGTTTTTGTTTGGTTGGTTGGTTTGTTTCTTTGTTTTTTATATGTCATACAATAAGGCAGCAGCACAGGGAGAAGAGATTGCTTCCCTGGCCAGGATTCAAGTCAAGGCACAGCTTCCTAAAGTAGTGCTGCATAAGGCTTCAGATTTGCTGGGTTAACTACGATTGTGAATGGATAAACCCCAGATCTGAGGGAACAGAGATGCTCCACTGGGCACAGCCTGTTCCCCAGAACCCAACAGTGCTCTGTTCATTCTGCCCCAGCTTCATTCTGTAAGTCCTGGTCAGTGGGCATCCACATTCCAGCTCTTAGTTGTAGCTCTCTTGTATGCCTGACACTGACTTCTCCTGCAGAATGAGGTATCTGAATGCTCTTTATCTGCACAGAGAAATATAACTGGGGAACACCAAGATGATGCACCTAATTAAGTTGGTTAGCATAAATAGACAGCTCTAGCTCTGTCAAGTCCAGCTCACAGAGAATAACAATACTATGGGCTGCTGTTAGGGTGACTGCAGTGCTCCAGATGTACCGGCACAAGCAGACTCAAGCAACTCCATAGCAGTATATTGGATTCAACATTGTTTTTAATCTAGTCACTAATATCAACTAATATAGTAATAAAACAAAGTCATAATAAACCAGCGTTCATGTACCTCTTAATCTAGACCAATAATAGTTTACCTTGGAAAAATGAGCTATAGGCGATCAAGACATAAAATTGATATGATACCCTATGATTTCTTTGCCTGGAGGACCACGGCAGCCAATAGCCCTTTCCCACTGTCCAGTTGACCTGCAAATGTTTCCTGCAGAGCATATACATGAGATGAAGTACAAGAACTCTGTGTCCAAAGGAACCTTCCAGGGAGAAGAGATTTTCCTGGCTCCCTGCCCATTAAACCTACTCCTGGACTCCAGAGATCCAAAGGAGAAAAATGATGGCAGATAAGCTCTTATTCTTCTGTTTGATAGCTGAGCTAATGGGCTAAGACGTTCAGCAGAATTACACAACAGCAAGTGGCTTACCTCCAAGTGCAGGAATTAATCCCAGGCCCCTGACAGCTCCTTGTTACAAGGGCCAGCAGCCTCCAAAGGGATGACTCAGGCTGTGAGCCATGAAGCGCCAAGTCACTGAGTGCCTGTCACCACTGACACTGCTCCAGCCACCAGATCCACACTGCAGCCCCCAGCAAACCCCTGTGCCTCTGCCCACAGCTTCTCCAGCAGCACTGCACAGCTGGCAGGGCAACGATCACCATCAGCATGTAGAACTTCCACAGCAAGCTGGGACAGACCACCAGACACTGGTCCCTAGCAGCACGTGCCAGGCTTTGCTATGGCTCCTGCTCATCACGTGCTGCTGACCACTGGATAAGGAGGCTTGAGCAGCACCAGCAATCCCAGGGCTGCACACGCTGCCCAGTGAAATCTCTCATTTACCAACTACAATATCCCATAATGGCTGCTTTTCACAGGAACCCCAGAGCAAAAATCAGACATGTGCATGCAGCAGTGCCAGCCTTGTGAGGGCAAGGGCTGAAGAACAGGAGGGGTGCTGAGTAACGTGAGCCCATTGGCACAGGAGGCTGAGCCTCATGTTTCTCCAGCAGCATCTCCTAAGGGAGCCACTTCCAAACATAGCTATATCCTGCAGGAGGATGGAGTCGACATGTTGGCCAGAAACGCCCCACTCACAGCTCTCCCAACAGGGCTCAGGGCATCTCTCACCTGCTGAGCCCACCTCACTTACCTTTCTGAGATAGATGCAGTTCATGCCTACCTTTTCCTTCGACGTCACTATCACCTCCCGAGCCCTGCCATTAGTTTCTGCATCAGGGCACAAGCCACACAATCAGTAAATGCTGCTGGGCACTTTGTAAGCATTACACAAGCCTGGAACACTTCTGACAGTTAAGGTATAACTACAGAGCAAACATGAACTGTACTCTTGTACAGTAGAAAGACAGATCGCAGGAGATGATAAAGCATCTCTGAAAAGGAAGTGGGGAGAAAACGCAAGTAAATATGAGCAAGTCCACAGAAATGAGGGTGTTTTTTTTTCCTTCATTGCCTTTAATTCAGGTTATCAATTTCAATACAAAGCCTCCATCAGGAGGATGCAGATAAGCAGAACTCTTCTTTTTAAACATAGATAACATTTATTTGGCCACCCACTACAACAATGGAGACGCCTTCAGAAAGTTACTGTTTGTAAATGTGTGATTTCAGGACGCACAGAAAATCAGGAAGAGATCCTTCCCAACCAGTTTCAGACACAAGTCTCCCACAAGGCTGTGGAGCCTCATTCACAACACATTCACCCTCTCACCGAGATACTTCGTGTCTTCCTTATTTATGTGAAACCAAAGACAACTGCTCCAGGTGACGTGAATGGCTCTGTCAATGCAGAGTTAGTTTGGGCAGGGTTTTGGTGTCAATAGTGCGACATTAAGCGTGCCTCCGATCAAAAGCAAGCAGTGACAGGTCTTTCAGCGGAAGTCTGCACAATCTACCTGAAACAGTTCAGCGTGAGCAGAGTGCAGTAATCCCTTCTAATTGAGAAGGCATCAAGCAGAGGCCGGTGAGGACCACACGAGCGCTGGATGTCGGACACGGAAAGGAACGACACCGCGCAAGGGGAGGAGCGGCGGCTGTTTACCGGGCAGGGACTCGCAGGCCATCACCACCTCCTTCCGATCCGCAAAGCCGCCCGCTCACGAAGCGCTCCTCGCAGCAGGACGAGCCGCGGGCAGCCCCGCCCCGATGGCTGCAGTCGGCACCGAGCGGAAAGCCCGCGACCCGCAGTGCCGGGGGAACGCAGCCCGCGTCCGGCCGTACGGACAGCGGGGACGCGGCGCCGGGCAGCTGCGGCACGGCACCACAACAGGTGCACCTGCGGAGGGCGGGCAGCCCCGAGCAGCAGGAGGAAGGGCCGCGCTCCGTGCTGCCAGCGGCGGGGCAAGCACTGCGGCACGGCCACGACGGACCCCCGCCCCGCGCTCTCGCCGGTTACGGATTCATAACCCGGGACCCCCCCGCTCATCGCCGCCCCCGCCGCCCCGCGGAGCCCTCGTACGCGGAATGGCTCTGCTGAGTCACGGCCCCCGCTCTCCCCGCACTCACCCGCGGGCCGCGGCCGCCCCGCACTCCGTTGGGCGCTCCGCAGCCGGCGGCTCCCGGACGGCGCTGCCCTCCCGCGTCGCCCCCGTTGCAGACGACGCGATGCCGGACCCCCTCGGCGGGGTCGCCGCCGCCCTCCTCGCCGGCGGGGAACAGCCCGCAGCAGCGCTGGAAGCGCGCCACGGGCTGCGAGCCGCGCAGGGTGCCCAGCAAGCGGGCCATGCCGCCGCAGCGTCCGCACAGCGCAGCCCCGCCGCGGGGCCACGGGCAGGTGCGCCCGGCAGGCCCCGCCCCGCAGGTGCGCTGCGCCCCGCCCCGATAGGCCCCGCCCCGCAGGTGCGCTGCGCCCCGCCCCGCTGTGCCGCGCCCCGCCAGGCCCCGCCCCGTGGCGCAGCGCCCCCTGCCGGCCGTGCTCCTCTCTGCCCCCCGCCGTCGAGATGGAGGCAGGCTTAGGGGTTTTCTTGCCGTCTGTTTTAGTCGAGTTTTCCCCCCAGAAATGCATCCTGTACGCAGTCAGAGGGCTGCTGAGGATCCCCACACAGCCTCGGCCCTGCGGTGGGCAGAAGGGTGGCGGGGTGCCGGGCACAGCCCGCTCCTGGCCACAAGCTGCTTGCAGGAGCTGACAGCCATGTGCCTCCGGCCCCGTGCCCGTGGGTGCACAACATGCCCTGTGCATCTGCCACAAGCTGGGAAGCTCTTCTGTTCACACAGAGATCTGGGCTAATGCCTGACAGGGCCCAGCAGCTGACACTCATCAAAGCAGAGCTGACAAGGGCACTTCACGAACTCTTTTTCTGATAAGGTGAAAGCTTTCTGGAAAGTGATTTGTGACAAGTAATTTCCTGATAGATTGATTGACTTTTGTAATGAAAGAAACGTTTCAGTTTGGATTTAGGTGACAACATTTTCATAACACAAAACTCCTCGTGTGTTTTGGGGCGTTCCCTTAGGAAGATGACACCAACATGACCTCTGCCTCTGGCCCACATGAACCTCCTGCTACACTCAGCCTCAGTCAGCACGAGCAGGGTCTCCACGAAGCTGCATTCCTCCAGTTTTCAGGAGGGACAGCAGTGGGAGATGGAAAGGGATGCAGCGTGCTCCAGGTGGCCCCGCCTGGCACACAGTTGTTTCCAGGCGACAGGAGCCGGCAGCAGAACGGGCAGGAGCATAGCAAGGACAGAGAGCAGCAGGGGGAGGTGCACCGGCCACAGGAATGCAGGGTTTGGAGGGAGCTGAGGGCAGGAAGCTGGCTATTGCAAGGGAAGGATCCTCAGAACTGGGAATAACATTTTATCACTGGCACTGCCCGTTGAACCTGTTTGCTCTTGTTCAAAGCAAGTGCATGAATCATTCCACTTACAGAGCAATGCTCCACTACCCTTTTTCTGAGAGCTGCCTTGTGTTATCTCTGACAGCCAATAAAAGCATTCAGGCTTTGACTCCTTCAAAGATTTGCTTTAGAAAAAAAAAGAAAAAAGAAAAAAAAAAACTTCCAGGAAGTGTCCCACACACTGTATGCCCCGTACAGATTTCCTAACGTGACATCATGCAGCTTTCTGTAAAAGCAGTGGAAGCAGTACCATTGCAAAGGACTATCCTTCTGAGAGTGTCCAGAAGAAGCTGCTTACAAACCATGCAGCTGCAAGGACTGGTAAAACCTTTACCCAGGGCTGAGCATCCCAGCAGCAGCTGCTCAGCACCCAGTCCATCTGCACCAGGAAGAAATTCTCTTCTGGGCTGAGGGCAGGTGTGAAAGATGAGACAACAAAGGATAACTTCTTAGGAAACTGAAATCATTCCTTTCACTGAGAGCCTTTCCTTATAGCAACACGTAGTGCTGTCACGTCGAGCATCATTTGCCTCCAGCACCAAGCAGTAGGAGCCAGGCACAAATCCCATGACCGGAGGCGGATTGGTGCTGCTGTACAAACACAGCCCTGCTGCCAGGTGCCAGCCTGCTAGCAATCCTGACAGCCAGACACATCTTGTTGTGACTCAGAAGCTGAAGGAACGGGTCTGAAGGAGCGAACACACACAGCCTTTTGCCTGTGTGCACAGCAGTAAGGTTCTCGGAAGGGTAGCACCCCTTCCAAGTGGGGCAGGTTGCTGCCGTGCACCCAGATGCCATGATGTGGCTCTCCCAAAGCACAGCACGGGTGCAGATGAGACAAGCATTGCACACAGAGCTGGGCTGGCCTGGCTGGGTTCAGTGTGCATGACACTGCCACAGCTTCACCTCACTGCAGGCGCTGACAGACAGCCTTTGGCCCTGCAGCAGAGGAAGAATTCCCACCCAGGTATCAGTACCATAGCACATGGCCTTCAGACAGATCTCAGCCAAATTTTCTTCCCAGTTTCACGCTTCATCTTTTCTTTATCCTCAGTCATTTTCTCAATACACTTCAGAACCCAGTTCTTGTCTTCATCTTCCTTCATCTCCTTCTTTTTCGCTCTTTATATTTTAAAAGAAACTATTAAAAATTGTGTATTTTTAGTACCAAAAGTCCTGACTCTTCTTGCAAGATTCCTGCATTATCTTTTATTTAGTTGCCACATTACTGAACATACTGTTTTGGATATGAGATTTTCTACTGTGCGCCAGACCCAACCACCCACTAACTCCACAGGGAACAACCTGGGGCTTTCTCCCTGTCTTTGAAAGAGCTGCTGACTGCAAAGCAAGCTGAGGAGATGGCAAAGTGCTGCATAACGTGCCCTTAGGTACCATAGCACCAAAGACCACCTTTTTCACAGCATTTCAGTCCTTCTCTTTTCATTTAATGCATATCAAAGTTCAATTTAAATTCATTTTAAATAAACTTTGTGAGGGAAAAAAAAATATTTTGCAACGTCAGTCAATAAAAAGCACAGATCACAAAGCTCTACCCTGCTCAGCTCTGCAGCAGCAGAAGTGATGGTGTGTCTGGCACATAGAGCCCAGGGCAGGCACCACTCTCACTGCATGTCTCCCAGATCTCATCTCCGTTTGAGAGCTGGTAACACAAAACCAGCCTGATTCTGCACAACAGGAGTCCACACGGCTCCAGTGGGTCCCCAGCCTGCCCGTTCTGCATGCCCTTTCTGACTATGAGAAAGTGCTTCATATGCAAGTATCCTCTCTGTTAGCTAAACTGAGCAGCACAGCAAGATTGGAACACGTTTCTATGATACATCAGCTGCCTTCAATGCACTGAACACACAGCCTCTTGTCTTGGCACAGATGGTCTTAAAATGCAAAGTTCCAGCACACAGCATTGGGTATATGCTAAATATATCAATTCTTCAAGGGCCAAGCTGCTCACCTCCTGTTAGCTGAGGCAGAGAAAAATGGAATTGTAGACCCTCGTTTTCATAACTCTCGCATAATTTTCTTATTAAACCTTTATTATGTATATGGTCACATTGCCAGTTTTAGAGCATGTAAGTATGAAAAAAAAGTGAATTTTAGAACTTGGAAAGATGAAAGCAGCTCCAAAAACTGCAAGAAAGAAAATGTGCTGAAAATTCTGCTGCTGTCTTGGGTAGGAATAATTAACTTTTCTGCTTGCAGTGTAAGTAACCAGATAATGCTATGTAATTGCTTATGATTTGCATTGCTTGAGATGGTATTGCTAATTTCCAGCAATGATTAGCATGTCATTTGAATAATTATTCAGCACCATATCACTTGGACACTTCAATTGCATGCATTTCTACTGTGAAATTCCTGGAGGTGTTCTCAACATTCCTGGTTCTTTGTAGACCATCCCATTCCTCGTCCATTCCACTGTTTGGGAAAAATGATGGCAAAATGGACGTTAATAATGCTGTGTACAAATAACTAACTTAACCCCGGGGAAGTTTTTAAAACTTGACTATCGATAGTTGATCTGATTTTATTCACAATTCCTTCTTAGCCCTCTGGAAAAATGGTCTCAACAACAGCTTCAGCTCACTACAAACACATTTGGGGGGTGAAGAAAGGGTGATACATTGACAGCTCGTGAGTAATTGGTACTGAGCATGGTGTCACACCCTGCCTAGCACAGCGTCCTTGTCTTTCAAGCAGGCTGTTTTTCAGAAAAGGTTGGTTCTGTTCACTGTCCCCATGCACAGAGCACAAACAAAGCTCTCACAGCAGCACACATCAAACTGAGCAAAAACTGTATGGGATGTGCTGCTGTTATTAATCACAATTTTCCAGGAGGAGAAGAAATCGATACTCACTGGCACTGGTCAGCACTGGGTTGCGTTGCCCTGGCACTGCCTGAGCTCCTATGCACTGCCTGCTGCTCCACTGCCTGAGCTCCTTGCCCATCCTGTTCAGAGCAGAGGGTGAGTTTAAAGGCCAGCTACCAGCTTCATAGTTTCTCCTCAGTGGCACCTTATGGGTAGGGAACTTCAGCCATTGCTCCAGCACTGTTTTCTAAATGCTTATCAGTGATGTGAGTCACGGCTGCCAAGCATGAGTTAGGAACACTGCAGGCTGAGAGCCACTCTGCCTTTTCCCCGAGCTCTATGCATGCACTGTGGGGCTGGGCATTGCCAGAACATCCACTTGGCTGTCAGTGCTGGGGCAGTCCTTGAGAGAACTCGCCAACACAAAGCATTTGAGAAGGCAGTGGTTCCCTTCGTTTTTTGTTTGTTTTCTTCCAGTAATACATAAATCTCAACAAAACATCTGTCAGGGAGTTAGGTTCAGAGAAGGATGGATGGGAGATGGGAAATGAGCAATGAAATTGTCCTACCCTGATGGTCAGGGTGGTTTGCTGGGGTGTCTCACACCTGCATGCATTCTGCTGTGGTACAGAACTTCAGTTTTTGGCAAAAGTCTTGGTTTGTTTCTCTGTCGTACCAGGAGATTCTGCAGACTGACTGGGCTGCTGACTTCTTTTAGTTGGGCTCATTTTTTCCCTTTTTTCACATTTCTTCCCTGATTTTTGCAGTCATGAAGTAAGTACATCTTCACATTTTAATTATGATGCTATACAGTGTACAGTGCCTGATCCCCCCTGAGAATCTTCTACTGATGGCACTTTAGTTCATAGGTTTTATTTTGCTCATACGCATGAACTCAGGGTTACTGCCACTTCTCAAACCACAAGAAATGTAGGCTCAGTCAATTCATTCAGCTACAGAGAGCTGTGAGATTCTCTACTTTTCATTCTACTGCCACCCACATTACAGATGTCATCCTAAAACCATAAATAGCTCTCGGGGTCTTTGCTTTATTTCTACTA